CACCCTGCACTTTTGTTATTTATTGCATAACTGCCTTATAAAGCCTTTGGGATCCCTACGGATCCCTAAACTACATAGTCTTAGAAAGCATTTTGTAAAAAAATTTCAAAGATTTTTTTAAAACTGGTAATTATTTTCAGATAATAAAAAATGCTTTTGTTTTTTAAATTAAAATCGATTTTAGAATACCCTTCTAATATATTTGCAGATTATTTCCATATCGCGGAATACTCCTGACTGCACTATGTTTGTAATTAGACCGATGTTGTACACCCCAATATCTGATGCTGATTGGCTAGTAAACCGGTTTCCAAACTGGTTTGGGGGCACGCGGAACGGTCCTTGTGCTACAGAATGTAGGGGGTGCAGTTAAAAATAGTTAACACGTTTATTTCTCTACGCGTCTGTTCTAACATAAATTTATATATTTCGTTTTTTTTTTTGGTACTAATGCTTCTCTTCGTTGTTTGTTAATACTTTTGGTTTTCTCTTTGTCGTTTGTTAGTACATTTTCTTCGTCATTTGTTGGTGCCTTCTCTTCGTCGCTTTCAATGCCTTTTCGCCGTTTGGTAGGGTGTTTTCGTTCGTCGTTTATTAGATTTATACTGGATTGCGTCGCGTCGTAAAATAGAATAACACATAAATCTTTGAGAAATTCCGATGAACATGTAGTTTTTAATATAAACGTTTCAAGTTTCCTTATCTGAGTAATTTTTTTCTTTTTTACTATTTTGAATTCTATTACGAAGGCAATGAGTTAAGTTGTGTCTGAAATCTACTGAAGGTGAAAACTCTGATGGATAAGTAGTCATGAATATTGACATTTCAGGTTTCTCTAGATAAGGTATTTTCTTATCTTCCTTTCTTTTTTTTATCATTTTGGATTCTGCTGAAGTGACAACAACCCTAATGGGCAATATAATCTTTGATACTGACGTATTGAGTTCCTCTAGGTGAAGTTTTTTTTCCCCTTCACGATACATTGTAATTTGGATTTTAATACAAAATAGCACAACGCAGCCAATAGCAAAACAAAAGGCATGTGAGTTGAATTTAAAATGTATCAATGTAACAGTTCCGATAGATAATATAGCATGGATAC